TATCAGTCTGAACAGACTTTTTACCAAATATAACAGGCATAATCAAATGCCAATGGCACAAGATACATTTCAAAAACCTAAGGGAAAAAGGAGGGGGCAAAATAGAAGCTGTATCTACAATCTCAAAAGCAGCAATTATTAGAGAAACATATATGTCCAAATATTTTTCATAGCCTTATCTATATTTTTAAAGGATATTATCCATCTTTGAGTAGTTTTCAGTTCAAAACAGACCTATACCTAATAACTAAAATGAAACTTTTTTCTTTCTCATGACATTGGGTCACTGGGGAAGTCATGACACATTTTTGCATAGAAAAGCAGAAAAATATGTCATGCTTTCAAAACAGACCTATACCTAATAACTAAAATGAAACTTTTTTCTTTCTCATGACATTGGGTCACTGGGGAAGTCATGACACATTTTTGCATAGAAAAGCAGAAAAATATGTCATGCTTTCAAAACAGACCTATACCTAATAACTAAAATGAAACTTTTTTCTTTCTCATGACATTGGGTCACTGGGGAAGTCATGACACATTTTTGCATAGAAAAACACAGAAGACTTTCTCGATGACTTAACAGAGTAAGAAGGAATGAAATTGTGATTAAAACTGGTCAGGAAAAACATTCTGACGTGTTAGAACTTAAAACTTTTAAACTGTGTCATCCAATATGGTGGTCACATGTGGCTACTTAAAATTACAAATTCAGCTCCTCGGTCACCTTTCATTGTACTTCAAACTTTCAACAGTCACATGTGGCTAGTGGCTATGATACTGAACAGCAGATACAGAACATTTCCATCATCACGGGAAGTCCTATTGCACAGTGCTCTTCTACATGGGTATAGGAAAAGGGGTATTTTACAAATAAATGACTCCTGGCTCATCACTGACTGAACTCGAGATAAGCCTTTCAAGTGCTTCCTACAATGTCTACAACAATAACTTCTCCCTACCATCCTGTTCACCATGATTATGTCAAAGCAAAGCAATTTTGCCCAGACTCTAACGACAACTCATATATTAAAAACAAAACTGATAGTGCAATTTCAAATTTCACCTCCAACTCCCCTTTACCAATTCCATATATACACTCTTGTCTACTGCCTAAGAAGCAATATATGTAACATTGGCACATGCTTATTTTTCTTCAAAGAAAAAAAGAAACAGCTTTTAAGATAAGAAAACTAGATGGACATCTCTCTTTGAAGCAAGCAGGAAGTTGGTGCTTTACAGAGTATGTATGAGACCAGTTTGGCTCTGTCACCCCATCTTCCATGTGTACTCACACGACACATAAGCTTATCAAATGACTGGACAGGAAGCGAACCACTGGGTTTTAGTGAAGGGACTAGAAGTGGGAGAAACTGCTCCCAAAAAGTCTTTTTCTTATTAAATGGCACTCAGAAGTCCACAAACCTGGCTTCCACATATTCAAGAGAAGTCTTGTTCATACCGAAATTATCCTAGATATTTCCTATGTTTTTAACCTACTTTATAACAATTCTAGATTGAATTAAAAAATATTCAACTTATCTTATGTCCACATAAGATCTTTCAGAATTCCAAATCTGAACCCTATCTCAGATTAAGTTTCATCTGTTTGCAATCTTAATATTCCTAAAATATTCTTTTTTTTTTTTCTTTGAGAGAGGTTTTTGCTATAGGGCGTGTGCACTCACCAGAAAGACAGAGAGAGACAGAGAGAGAGAAAGCAAGAAATCACTCCCAGGTGGGGACGGCCACACCACAATCCCTTCTCCTCCATTCTCTTCTTGGGATCTTGGGCACACATGCACACGCGCCCAGTGTGAGTTCAAGCCACCGGATCCAGGACTCAAACCACGGTCGACTACATGGGAGTCCAGTGACATAGCTATTACGCTAACTGCTGGTCCCACTCCTAAAATATTAATAGTTTCCATGGGCAATGGGACAAAATAATGTGAGGGAAATGATTAAATCTACTAGGATACAGAATTTGTGTCCTGAATCTGTAAAGAGAGATCATCTCATCAAAACACCCCTACAACTTTAAAAATTCAGGTTCAGAATTTTAAGAATGTCCTTAAAATGGAAAGTCGAATACATTAACAAATTAAATGTGGTATGTTCCTTAATCAATCTGGTATCCTAGGAAACAACAGATATTTACTACCACAGCTCTACGTTTGTCTTCAAACTCTAGGACAGCTTTTTTAAAAGGTGCCATACCTCCTGAACTCTCGTGAAAAATTAAGATCTCCTTTTCATCACATCAATTCAACTTCAGTAAGTGTCAACTACAACACTGTAAAATATAGTTTTAAGTTCAAACATCTTTATAGCATTTATACCAAAAACCTATCTCTCTTTATCACATGCTTCCAATACAGTGCTCCCTCTAGCACTGGGAGAAAAAAGGCCACACAATTTATTTTCAAAGAATCTTGTGGCATTAAAAAAGAATGTTAATTAGGTTTAAATTTTCTCCTTTAAACTTAGTCACCTTTTGAAATAAATTTCCTTTGCCAGACCTGGAAAAATAAAAGGATTTCTCATTGTATAGTCATATGTATCTCTTCTCTTGAAAATCTGTCAGCCTTCCAAAATCAACTTTCACTCTTCACAATTATATGATTACACATGATTTACACAACAAAGTACAGTTTCACTTATTTCAAAGTATAAAGAATGAGGAAACAACCCTACTCCTATAAGCTGCAGTGTGTGTGCAGGTGAATGTATAGTGTACATGGTGGGGTATCCCTTCCACAGGATGCTTTATAAGTACCTATGGATTCTGGGCAAGAAGTCATTTGAAAAACATAGAAATAATCTTTTCAAGCAATGGTAACTACAACTGTTCACCCCTACTTACTTGTAAATCTTTCTTCAATTTTAGCAAATCTTCATTTTCTCCATTTCCAGATAGTGCAGCTTCAACCTGCTGGAGTTGAGCTTTGTAGCTTGCTAGCTGTTTTGCAAGATCTTCTGACATCTAGAGAAAATAAAAAGGGTAAGAAGACAGTAATAATTCAAGCAGAAAGTCAAACCATAAGAAAGAATTTCGGCCCAGCTATAGTAGTGGCAATGCTGCTACTCAGCACAAGGCCACATGGGAGGCTTGGATAGATTCCCGGACCACCCTAAAAACAGTAATGAAACATGTCTGGAGCCTCAGCTTCTAGAAAGGAAGATGGCAACCTAGTGAAACCTTGTCATTAAAAAAAAAGAAAGAAAAGAATAATTTCCTTGTGTGCATGAATCAATTTTATTCTCAACTCATTATTTTTTTTTTTTCAGAGAGGTTTTTGCTATAGGGCGTGTGTGCTTGCCAGACAGACAGAGGGAGACAGAGAGACAGAAAGCGAGAAATCACCCCCCCCCCCACGGGGGATGGCCATGCCGCAATCCCTTCTCCTCTATTCTCCTCTTGGGATCTTGGGCACGCCCGCACACGGTGTGAGTTTAAGCCACCGGGTCCAGGACTCGACTACATGGGAATCCAGCGACATAGCCATTACACTAACTGCTGGTCCCTTCTCAACTCATTATTAACAATGCAGCTTAATTTACCACCATTACATTTACTCTGAGTTCAAACTTGAGTTAAACTACAAACTTCAAGGCAATGGATGCTGAAGATTATAAAAATGTCAGATAAAACTTGTATTTAAAAAAAAAAGACAGAAAATACAAGATGTAAGAGGAAAACAGTAATTTCTTATTTTCTTTAACCTCTCAGTACAGAGAAAGCACTGGGGTTTCAGTTAATAACAAGATGACTAATTTTTTTTAAAAACCATTAGTCTACAGAAAGAGTTAAAACTTGCCCCCCAATTTATTTTTAAGCACTAAATAATGTTTCCGAAGCTAAATAAAAGTTTTAAATTAAGTAAACAAATAACTCTGTATGTGAACTATTTAATGAATTAGTGTATTCAGTTCTTTTCCTTAAAAAAGAAAAGAAAACCTTTCAGCCACTCAAGGTTTTCGATGCACTTTACTTTAGTAAAACACACACTCTCCCACGGAGGCATTCGAAGCAATATGTCATTTGCCAAACCCAGCTCACTCGTTCTCCTGAAAATAAGATATGAATTAAGTTCTTCTTGGTGACTTATAAACAAATCTGTGGTTTTCAAAACCCGTCTCTTCCTTAAAATTCCCATCCAACGAAAACCTGGAAACTGGAAGGCTCCAAAGGGTTAGAACGAGCCTGGTTGCTCCCGCAGTCACCCAACACTCACGGCCCGCCACGACTGGATCAAGTACTCCAGACTGCGAAATTCAAACCTGAGCTTCCAGGGGACTCGTCCGAAGCCCACACCCTCACACTGGGCTTGGCAGAACCGCCGCGGGCTCTCCCAGGCTGGCCAAGTCCCCCGCCCCGGCACGGAGGCCACAACGCCAATCGGGCCACTCAAGGCTCGACTCCGGGTGGGAGAGGAGGCCGTGTCTCCCAGCACTCCTGCCCGCGGCCAGACCCCCTCCGGCGAGGGAGCTTCCTTGGCCTCAGACCTCCGCTTTCAACTTGGGCAGACTCCGAGGCCGGGCGAGGCCTCCTCCCTCTCCCCGTAGGGTTTGTTACCTTGTGCGGGGTTGGGGGCGGGGCGGCGGGAAGGGGTCGGGGCGAACGAGCCCAGTGCGGCGGCGGCAGCAGCGGCAGCAAAGATCTCCGCGACAACAGCAAGGCCACTCGGTCAGAAAAGGAAGAACTCCGACGGCGGTGAGGGGGAGGGGAGGAAAAAACCGGGCGCAGGAAGAAGGAAAAGACAGAGACGTGCCAGGTCTCGCGAGAAATGCAAACCCTCGCGATAGGTCGCTCACGCTCACGTGTTGCCTTGCGCCCTCTAGGCTGTCGGCTTCACTTGCGCCAGGAACGCGAAGAGGCGCGGGGGAGGAGATGGGGAGGATTGTGTCTAGAACCACGGAAATGACGTTGCTGAGCTGCGCGGGGCACGGAAGATAGGCCCTTCTTACCTCAGTTCCGGCTCCAGGCCCGGAATGTTAGTGTGCTTGTTGCTAAGGTTCCCGGGGAAACCGGGAAACGATCGCTTATACTTTCTTAGGAGAGCGGTGCTGGCAGGTGGGAGGTACGGATTGGACGCAGTGTTTGTATTATTGATTGGTCCCCAAAAGTGTCTCAGACTGCAGCATTAGCATCACCTCGAATAGATTGGAAATGCAGATTCTCAAGTCCCACTCAGAAACTGTGGGTAGGCCCTGCAGTGTGGTTAAACAAGCCCTTCAGGTGGCACCCATGTCAACTCAAAATTTGAGAACCACCGCCTTATGTAATAATAAAAGCCAGCGTAGAGGCCAGCAGATGGTGCAGTGGTTGTAACGCCGGATTTCCACTAGATTGACAGGTTCAAGTCCCGGATCTGGGGTGGGGATGGTGGTGATTTCTCACTTTACCTCTCTGTGTCTGTCAGTCTCTCTCCACACTCCCCTCCAGTGGACACATATTGTAAGAAAACAACCTCTATTTAAGAAAAAAAAAAAAAAAGCCCAAGTAACAACGAGACGCTAGTCAAATGGTGGCAGAGCCTATTGGAGATGCGGTTGATTTATTTAAAATACATTTTGTTAAAACTTACTTAGTTTTGGGTCAGCCAGGTGGTTAAGGTCGCTGGATCCCACATGGGTGACTGGGAGGATCAAGTCAGAACTGGTGGCTTGGAAAACATGCTGGTGACTGGTACCTACGTGCCCAAAATCCAGAGAGAAGAGTGGAGGAGAAAAGCTCTGGCACCTCTTTCTATCTCTTTCATTGATTGCATCTGCCCTCTAACAAAGAAAAAAGAAAGCCTATGCAATTTTAATTAAATCAATTAATTAATTAATTAATAATTTTCAGTACCAGCAGATAGTGTCAAGGTTACGTTGCTGGACTCTCACATAGTTAATAACAATTTGAGTCCCGGACCTGGCAGCTTAAAACTCATGCCAGGTGTATGTGTGTGTGTGCCCTTAATTCCTAGAGGAGAACGGAGAAGGGATTGCGACATGGCCATATCCCTTGGACAGTGATTTCTCGCTTTGTCTCTCTATCTTCCATGAGCGCACACACCCTATAGTAAAAATCTCTCCAAAAAAAATTTTAATTTTAAAGTCACAGTTTTGTTTTTTAAGTTTTTTTATTTATTTATTTATTTTGGAGAGATTTTCGCCATAGGGCACATGCGCTCGCCAGACAGACAGAGAGAGGCACAGAGACAGAAAGCGAGAAATCACCCCCCGGGGGGGATGGTCACACTGCAATCCCTTCTCCTCCATTCTCTTCTTGGTATCTTGGGCACACACGCACACGCGCCCGGCGTGAGTTCTAAGCCACCGGGTCCGGGACGCGAACCGTGGTCGACTACATGGGAGTCCAGCGACATAGCCATTAGGCCAACTGCTGGTTCCCTAGTTTTTTAATTTTTATTATTATTTACGATAGTGCATATGCATGCACAAGAGAGAAAGGCACACTTGACCAAGTCTCCTTACACTCTTGCCTCCTTTCCCTAGCCCGCTAGCGCCTCAGGATTTGGGGCATGTACCTGCCTCCCATTCCCCAAAACACATACACTGCCCCTGTTCAGCGCACTAGGCCTACCTGGGAATCCAAACCAGCAGTGGGCCACATGGCTTCCATCACTGTATTTTGGTTTGCTAGTACTGTTCCACCAGGCTGGGCCTCCAAGCTATAGTCTTAAATAATAAGTACGATAGTATGAGTACTTCTGTTTAAGTTCATAGCTTGTAATAATACATACAAGCTAAGGACAGATACACAAATCTATCTAGAGGTCTGTCCAGGTGTTTTCATTGATTATACTGTTTACTCTTTTTTTCTTTTAGCTGTATTTTTTATAAAACAAAGTCACACAAAGTGGCCATATGGATGCCAAGAAGGAACCTCTGTAGGACTGTCTGTTCCTAGACCCATAAGAAGGCTCTCTTCTCAGATGGGCTCTTTTGAACTATGAAACCCTCTTGCTTTAATTCCTTCAGGCTTTCTTTTAAAGGGAACCATCCCTTTTCTTTCCTATATACACAAACACAGCCACTATAGTAAGTCAAACAATCGACAGAAATGGAAACTAGGTCAGGTTTGCCAGCATGTTTGGGATGGCAGTCAACCAGCAAGAAGGGAAAATACTGTAGAGGGCAGCAGTGTGCAGTTAGAATTAGGAGGTTACAACCCAGAAAGGATGTACTTTTCCTTAAATAGAACAGATTTGTTTAAAATGTAGTTTTTGACAGTTGCTCATACTCTTTTTTTATAAAAATATTTTATACAGTCTATCACTGTATATCATCACAGCATGTAAAGTGAATTTTCCCAGCATGAACACGTTGTATATTATTAGTCCAGTGAAAAGTATTATCATATACATTATCAACATAATTTTCCATTTTTGTGTCCCTTAAATGTTTTGCTTTGTTTTTTCCTTAATTACCTTCCTCTCACCCTCCCCCATTTCCCACCCTCCTCCCACACTGTCTTTAGTATACACAATTGTGCTCCCTGCTTTTATATCTTCCAATCTTTCAGTTTCTGCCATAGAGTGCAGACATTTGGTATATATAAGTGGGGACATACAATGTCTCTTTTTCATAGTCTAGCTTGCTTTGCTTAGCAGTAAATCTTCCATATTCATTCACTTTTCGTATTTATCCACTTTCTATCAAATGTCAGGGTCTTGTTTTTGATGACTGAGTAGTATTCCATAGTGTATATGTGCTACACTTTTTCATCCATTCATCTGTTCATGGACATTTGGGTCGGTTCCATGTCTTAGCAATTGTGAATAATGCCACAATAAACATGGATGTGCAAGCACTTGTTGTGGCTTCTGTAATGATATCCAGGTTCATGGTGTTTCAGACAAAGAACTGAACAAAACATGCAAATAGTGAAGGGAGAAGGTAGTTTACTGAGTAAAAGTGCACTCTTGAGAAGTAGAAGCAGGCCTGAGCAGACAGAAAGAGTAGCTGAAAAGGCCCTGGCAGTTGTATTCTGCCTGATTTATCATTTTTAACCTACGTCATATGGATCGATCATTGGCTGGGTCTACTGATTGTTCTCATCTTATTGGCTCTATCAAATGTGGTTGGATTCACTGTTTTCTCATTGGCTACTTCAAATGTGGCTGGGCCCACTGATTTATCTCATTGACTATCTCAAATGTTGCTTAATAAGCTAGACATCCCTCACTAATTTGCTTACATCTCCTTAGGCAGTGAATTTTCTGCCCTAATTGGGTTTTCCTGTCTAGCTATATGGGCATATGCTCCATCCCCCTTGCCTGCTTCCATTTGCTAGCTTTCTCCGGTCTCATTTTCCCCCTAAGAGGCATGATCCCCATAAACCTTTGTGGGGAGCTGAAGGTGGATGGTCTGTCCTCTGTAATTGCATCAGGTTCAAAAGGGAGCTTGATTCTCCCTTTTGAGGATCATGGAACTTTTGCTCTATTTGATCTAGGTGGGAGAGTGGGGCCAGGGCCAGGTCATTGAGATAGTACCCCAGTGTGTCATTTGGGAGGACTGTCAAGGGCTGTCGTTAGTGCTGGATGGCTTGCAGTAGGATTCAGTGTAGGTCCCAAGGAGTTGATATCCTGTTGTATGGTCATTTGCAATTGTACAGCTTCTACACAAGAATAGCTAAACTTGGTTAGGACATTTAAAAGACAGGGCCCCAAAAGGAGGGGTGATAGTTATTATTAACAGGTGTCCCAAGAGGGGCAATAGCCAGAGGAACCAGTTTTAGATTTTTAACCAGATTCCCCATGTATCTGACAAGTGCTGTTGGATTTGTGAAGCGATGTGATTATAGAAAGATTGGTTTAAGGCACCTAGTGTTCATTTTTGGGTTGTATCATGAGTTTTTCTATGTGTGCCTAGAATTTACAGTAGTCACCATTTTGGGTCTTTAAATTGGAGCTCTCAGCGAGACCTCAGTGGCTAAGTTCCATTGGAACAATCTGAGGAGGTTAACTGCCCTTTCTACCAGTGTGTTCTTAGTTTATTCAGTTATTTTAAAATCCTATAAGTCTTGGGGGCTCCTGCCCCGGCGCGAGGTGGCAGCAGCCGCAGTGCCCCCGCCGGGC